CTGTTTCTTTTTTAATTTGAATATGACATCCTCCACTCCCAACCTGATGTATCTGAGTTCCTTCCACTCCAGGGCTGGAGCTTTCCCCAGGTGAGCAAGGGAATTCCATCTTAACTTCCTCCTTACTGACAGTGAAGCAACCCTGCTCTCCAGCCCACGTTTTAAGAGCAGCTTTTGAGTTCTTCTGGCTGAGGAGATGGATTTAAAAAAAAAAAAAGTCACCTCAGCATGAATTTTCTACCTCTATCCCTTTCCTTTTTGAAGCCAAGATGAAAGGATTAGCGCTTTATTTGCCTTTTAGCCCAGGTGGGCTGCTCTGCTAGCCTCTGCCCCATTTACCATTGTTGCAGCTAACAGCTGTCTGGATTGCAGCGGCTTTTATGAAAAGCCCTGAAATGTGCTACAACCGGGCACCTGGCAATGCTGTACCCATTTGTTCATATTGAAGGAACATGCGAGGTTTTAATTTTTCATGGCAAAGGGAGCTTTTTAATGACTTCAATTAACAGAGAGAAGAACTCCAGTTAGCTCTTGCTATACAAAAGTGTCCACAATGTCATTAAAACGAGATTTACAAGTGTCATAACTCTCAGCAGCATAGTCAACAATATAGCCAATCATTACAACTGAGCACCAAAAGAGAAGAGGGGAATATCATACCAACCAAGGAACTGGATGAAAAGAAAGGAGTATGGGGGAAAGAAGGTGCAGAGGAAAAAAGAAAAGTCATTTTTTCTTTTCAGTCTAAATTGATTTTATTCTACAAAATGCTACTCAGTTAAAATTGTAAAAGCAAAACCATTGTAATATGTTCTTTCTTTCATAGCAGCAAGCTTTCTCTAACAAGCTTTTTGTTTTAGTGCAAATAGTGTAGGCCTGTAATTCAGTAAAATAACATGAACAGAAAAGAGACAACAGCAGAGAGAATGCCTCAGAGCTGAGATTCTTCAGGACTGAAAGAACTATATCAAGATCACCAGGAGCAAAGAAAGGTCCCACTTCAGCAGTCATCTTTAAGAACCTCCTTGGCAGAAACTATTTCATTGCAGACAAACAATAAAAAAGAAAAACCATGATATAAAACTTTTGAAGAAAAAAAAAAAGATAATGGTGCCCCCAAACCTTCAGTAATCCCCATGGTCGCCTATTAATCACTGAGGCTTGATTCCACCTCTGACTCCCGCTTTGCAGCAGCAAAATGCTACTGATGCTTTCAGTGTGGCCCCAGGAGAGTGGAATCAGATTCAGGCCCTTTCTGTATCTGAGGATCTTAAAGTAGACTTTAGTGACACGAGTAACATCGCTCTAATAAAGATGCACTATCCCTTACTGATGTTACTTTGAACTACACAGTATATCAAGATATATACAACAGTTTATCCTCTCACTGAGCAAAAACAATTGGATACCTATTTTCTACACATTTTATTATGGTTTTAACATCAAGTAACCACAAACAAGAAAGTGGAATAACCCTTTAATCATACAGGATAGGAGGGGAACAATTAAGTAAAACAGGATGGGATTTTATTATTATCTTGTATTCTGAGATTTGTCCTGAACTCCACCTACTGTTCACAGAGGAATGATAATGCATCTTTTGAAACATATCTCTTTTTACATTTTATACAGACAACAACAAAACCCAGAATCTTTTATTTAAGGAATCAAAAAAAAATATTATTAGCCTAAAAAAAGAAGATTGAAGTATTTTTAATGCTTTCTTTATTATATCCAAGTCTTAAACAGAAAAAAAAAAGATGTAAACATGATAAATAAATAAGAAATAAAATTTAGATTGTTCCCCCCACCTCTTAAAATGTTTGACTTGGCCTTCCTAATGAAAATGAACTTGTGTCATGATAGTAAGATTTCTTACATTTCAGAAGTCTGTTTTATAATGGGAAAAAAAGGCAACACCAAAAAGGAAAAAAAAAAAAGGCAACAACCAAACACCAAGAATGTGAGTTGGGAGGATGTTAAATTAGTGGCGGGCAGATCTGCTGGAGCAGGCACAAGACGGCTGCCTGCCAATAAATAGTAAGAGACCAGGGAGAAGGGAGGTGTCTTAAGTTTGTTTTCATTTTTTTTTCTTTTCATTTAGGATGAAGGCCAGGTGGATCCTACACACAGTAAGCAGCAAAATTAAAGGTTCAGATGAACTAAACAGATAATTTAAATAATAATTATAAAAAATGCAACAGACAGCTACTGTCCCCAGCATGTTGGTCCCGAATCCCATCACATCACAAGTAGTTTGAGACTTACCCAGTCTCCACATCTATTAGAAAGGAATATATGAAGGCAATGCCACAACTAGGAGGGGGGGGAAGAGGAATAAGGGCAAAACTGGAATGGCAAACATCACCCGGAAGCTGAATGTTTCCTTCAGTGCAGCTGCTACTGCTCCTCCCATTTTGGCATTGATTAATTTATGATGTTATGAGAGGCTTTGTTGAGCCAGTCACTAGGGGGTTGACCCAATACCAGCTGAAATTCCCTGGGTCTTTTTCTATTGACTTCAACAACTCTTGGTCAGCGCTAGTTATAACAGCTCCCACACTCCCATTACATGCAGAACATGGAGACACTAAATTTAGAGGATTTTGGGGACAGGGAAGACAATCAATTCCCAAAGAGCACACCAAAAAAAAAAAAAATGCAGAGCCAGACCAAAACAGCAGCAGAGCTCAAGTTGTACCTGGCTGCCAGAAACCAAACAAAAGTAAGGCTGATCCACAAAATACAAAATTCCAGGAACCAACGATCCCATCACAGACATCCTCTGAGAGATTTGAGGGACAAAATGGGCAGGCACAAGGTATTAGGGGCTTTTTCCAAACAGTAGAAAATAATCCTCTTTTTAAGCAGTTTCACATAGTATCAGTATCACAGGACAGGAAAGGGGAGCACCTCATCCTGTGTCTGAGGTCAATGACCAGGCAGGAGGCAGTGGGCAAGGACCAGCTGCAGCTCCTTTTGGCAATGATTCAGTGACCAAAAGCAAAGGTAGGTTTTTGTTATTCCACCAGTTAGGTCTGAGGAGGCACCTGACTTCCTAAAACCCCTAGAAGGGATAGATGTTTCTGATCTGCCTGGAGACAGAAATACTGGTCAGCTAACCTCAAAAGTAGCTGTATCACTTTAGGATTCACCACTTGTCAGTGTTGCATTCTGCTAAAAAATGAGTGGAAATGACAGGCAGAGACATTTTATTGAACAGCTTTAGATTCTCAACCTAGACCGGCCCAAGCAAGCATTTGGCAAAATTGAGACAGAGAAGCAGCAGTTTCACCTAAAGTGATATCAATCTACATAAAACCTGAGGAAAAAGAGAATCCTCTGTGCTATCTATGGGAAATTTAAGGTCTACTTTATTGAAAAGTAAGTTTTGATGTATATGTAAGGACAACAGAACTCCTTTATCAATTTTACGTGTCGTGTAAGCTCAGTTTGAAACCTCTAGCACCGGTATAAGGATGTAAGCATTTAAGCAATAAAGAAAAGAATCCCAATCAGCTTTATGAAGCAAAAATATCACTCATATATTTATTTCTGGCAGGTTTGGTAAATACTTGGGTTTAAAAATAATAGTATTAATAAAAAAAACAAAGTCTACCTTTAGAGCCAAAAGTAGTGTCCCTTTGAAATAACTCAAGGAATGGGCAGTGGCCAGGGTTTGAGGGAAGCCAGTTCTGAGTAAAAGTCCACTTCCACAAGACTAAGCCCTATTAATTTCCAGTGGAGTTGGTGGCAACTGCAGCAGTTTTGCATCTCAATAGGACTGGCCCTATAATTGTATATTGCATTTCTCCAGGTCCAGCCTGACCAAGAAATACCCTGGTTTCAGTTGACTTTAAAAAATAAAAAAAAAAAGAAAAAATATATAAAAGAACAAGAAAATATCACACCAAAATAAATAGCTGCCACCACAGCTTCAACAGGCAGGACCAAAGAGCCATCCCCTAAGTGGCTTAGCTGGCAAGCTGGGCAATCCTAGTGTGCACAGGGTCATGGTTTGTCAGTGCCTTGACATCAACAGGGATTGAGCTTGGCCCCAAGTAGGAATACATGTTACTGTTTTCAGTAGTGAACATCAGCACTGGAGAGCTTGTGCCCTCTGTGAGCACTTAGTAGTAGCAGCCAAGCCCTAAGGCTGGAGAAGACAAGGACCCAGGGCTAGGGGAAGAGCCCTCTGCTTTGTTTTTTTTTGTCTTCAGGCCAATCAACACCAAAAACCCCAGATCAATTAGAATGCAAAAAAAAAAAAAAGAGGCCAAAGACCGAGGTGCAAATAACACTAATCAATTTTCCTCTGCTGTCGATTTATCATTTGCCAGAGTTTATGGCTAATACAGCTCTCTTCTAGTTCAAAGAAGTCAGCACTTCAAACATGCCACTCCTGCCTCATCAGGAGTGCCTTGTGGCCTGTGCTGTGCTAGAGGTTGGACCCCCTACCTTCCCCTCAACCTCAGAATTGGGAATCTCTGAGCAAACAACACCTACCAGTAAGAGCTGGTGGATGCATGCTGCTTTGTTTCCCAACAAGGAAAAAGTCAGCAAGGGTACAACCAGCTAGTTTCACCCCCTTAGCTGCTGCCTGTCTCCATCCTAGATTTATAGACACGTGGTGCCCTCTCTTTTTCGGTAGCATGTTCTGCAAATATGCCCAAGGGGAGGGGAGAATCTCAGAGCTCTGAGTCAGGAGCTCTGATAGGAAGGAAGATGCAATACTCCCTAGACACTGGGTAGCCCAGGAAAAGTAAACAACAAGCAGCAGACGTGATATCCAGCAAACCAGGGTAAAACCCTGCCAAAGACACTGGTAAGTGCCAGCCCAGCAGCTTTTGATGCTACTTTGGCCCTGAGATGCTAACTTGTTTTTTTGAGGAGCCCAGGGAGACAAACGTATCCACATTTTAAAAGAGAAAGGCTTCCATATGAGCCTCCTGCAGTCTCTGTGCCCTAGCCTAGAGATTACAAGCTGCTGAGCTCTTGGGCTCCTCTTGATCCCCCTCTCTCCCCATCCTCCCGGCTGTCCCCCTCCTGTCTGGGCAACCTATATGTTTCCCGCAGCCGCTCCCAAGAGGAAAGATCCTAACAAGCCTTTAGAGTTCAGAGCAACTGGATGAAATGTAATGGGATCAACAACATCGGAAATGATAAGCAGAGAGAGAGAGAGGGCAAGAGAGAAGCTGCAAGATCAACTAACCAGAATGATTTAAGCACAGAGCACAACTGATCAGATCAATCCACAAAGGAAAGGGATGACTAGCAACTGCCTGCAGCTCGCCTTCAGTTCCAGCCAGGAGTGCTCCCCAAGTCCACTATGGCCACAAAGAGGTTTTCATAGGCAGTCCCTACAGAGGGAACAGCACCCTCTCCAAACAGTCCTGGCATGTCAGTCCCACCCTTGCCGTTGCCTGCCTCCAGGGAGCTGGCGTTGGTCCTCACTCTCTTTCCTGGAGCTGTAGCACTTCCCCATCCTTGTTCTTGCTGCCCTTGTGCTTGAACGATCCTGTGCCTGTCTCTAATCCCATGGAGGGGGACTCCCCCCATGGTATTGTGGGTGGATGTAACACACTGGCAAAATGGGGGACTGCAGGGGGATTACAATGCCAGCAAGGTGGGAGAGTTCAAGGAATCCGAGGACTGGTCCCCGCTGCTGCTGCTCCTCCGGTGAGCTTTGGAGCAGGACTCAGAAGGGGAGAGAGGAGACTCCTGATCTAACACGTTGGGGTAGGTGAACACCAAGTTGGAGGAGCCAGGAGTGATGGCTGGTGTTGAGGTCACCACGATGGGAGTGTTGAGTGCCTCCTCCCCATAAAAACCTCCAGCAATGCTGATGGGCTTAATGACAGACCTCTGGGCTTTGTCAAGGACCAAAGAGGAAGATGGGATCTCTTCTTCCACAGGCTCCTGCTTCACCACCACTGCTCCACTTGTTCCAGTCCTAACGCTCTGGAGGCTGCTCGATGGTGGGCTCCGACGTTCCTCGGGGCTGATTTTGCACACAGGGCTGTGAGCCACCAGCATAAACTCCAGCTTCTCCTTCTCCTTCTGGAGCTCAGCAATCTCCTTTTGCAGCACTGACTTCTCTTCCTCCAGCACTTCAGTTTCCTGCAGACAAAAGGGGAATAAATAAATACCAAAGGCTCTGGAACTACTCCTCACCTGGACCATGGCCATCAAGTCCAGGTCCCATCTGGCACAGACAGATACACCCCAGACTCTTCATGAGCCAAGCAGGTCCTAGGTCATTGCCAGTTGAGCATCTTGTGTTTCATGTGTCTACTAGTAGGCTATTCCCAAACTTCACCAAACTAAGGGTTACAAATAATCTTCTCATAAACTCACCCTAATTTTCTGATGGCCAGCTTCTGCCATTCTGTCTTGGCCCGTGACTTCAGTCTTCTCTCTTGCTCTGCCTGACAGATATCTTAGCAGAGAGGACCCAGATCTCCTCTCACTGTTTTTTGTGTTGAGCTAATCATATTCTTTTCACTTAGACAAGAGTTAGTGTATAGCAATCTCTAAAATGTTTCTTTCTGTAGCGCGTATTCCAGATTAGGTCCGACACTTGCCTGACTCTTGCCGAAATGACTAACACTTTTGTCTCCACTGGATGTACCCCTTGATGCATCCTACGATTAATACATTTACTTTTCCCATGGTCACAATAGCACTGATGGCTCATAGTCAATCTGTGAGCAATTAGTGCTTTCCCATATGAGGAACTCGTAATTTCACAAAGAACTCACCCTCATTCCTTCAGGATATGACTTCCTACTTTGCACTCCTCTCACTTCTATTACTTTAGTCATGACATTTCTATAGGATGTCCTGCCTCCCCTAACTGAGAACACCTCCTGAATTCTAGTCAGAAGCACATTTCACTGGTGTGCTTTCACTGCTGCTGCTGTGCTTGTTAACAAGATCACTGGATAAAAGCAGCCCCAGGCTGGTCCTTGAGCAAAGCACTGGAGCTTTCCCTTCAGCCTCTTTCAACACAACCCATCCTTGCCTCCTCTTCAACCAGTCCCTTACCCACCCCTCGGTTCCTACGCTCAGCCCTGCCTTCTCTGTCTTAGCTAACTATTACCCCTGCGGCAGTAGGGCACACGTCTCTGCAGTGCTTCCTTTCTGAAGGATGGCAGTTACCCCCGCCCCATGCCCAAAGAAAGGTTAAGCCTAAAGGATGTAGCTTTGATAGGTACACATAACATCTGCCTTGTTTTCTACTGCTTTTAGATGAGCCTTCCTCTTCAGTGCTTTTGTCCTTAGAGCCTGCTTTTGAGGCACACAGCACCTTTATTTTCACTGATGGAAGACCAGAGTCAAGCGGACTCATGCTAGTTGGGAAGCCAGAAGCAAAGAGAGCTCCTAGGACATTCTGGACACTCAGCAAGGAGAATTTAGGGTCCTGAGCTCCAAGCCCAAGTCCTCCTCATCCTCCAACCACTGTTGATGCGGGAGCAATGCTACTGGGCAGCCTTGGAAGGGGAAGGCAGAGTGTGCTGTGAAGCATCTTCCTTGAACACGCTAGTGGAGGAAGAACAATGCCCTTCGAACTGGTCCAAAGGGCAGGAGACAAGGAAGGAGAAATGTATGCAGAGCACGTACCGCCTGGAGTTTCTCTGTTAGCTCTCGACGCCTGTTACGACACTTAGCAGCTGCCAATTTGTTCCTCTCTCTCCGGATCCTTCGCTTCTCTTCTTCCTCAGGCGACAGCTGTGGGCAAGTGCCAAGAAAATCTACAATCAGATCTGATGAAGGCATTCCTTTAAGTTTGTGAGGATTTAACCGCAACGCAAAGGAAAAAGGCCTGATCCAGCAGGATGCTGAGCACTCCCCCTCTTCACTGATGTCAGCAGAAGATGAAAGCACACAGTATCTCTGCCTGCACTAGATCTTAGCAGAAGGGTGAGGAGAAGATGGAGCAGGGTGCAGGGAGAAGATTGTGTAAGAGGACAGTGAATCTGCACCAAGGCCAAACAGATAAAAGATGCTCTGATTGTTTCACAACTTGGGTGGTACGTTAAGCAAAACCAGAGCATGATGTTGTAAGTGCCTCTTTCTTGAAAGAAAGTATCTGCTGTTTCCCACACAATAATAGTTGCTTGCTTGAAGGTCGGGGATGGGGTAGAGGGGGAGACAGGGAAAACAGCAGAGCTCCCATGGAGCCCGTGAAGCAACAATGATTTATATTACTCAAAAATCTGACCTCAGATTTTTGAGCACTCAGCTAGATAACATACTGCTTCTTGCATCAGCAGGCAAGGCTCCAGTGATACCAAGGGCTTCCTGAGGCCAGCTGATATCCTCACTGATGTAAATCAGGAGCAATTCCATAGCAATCCATCCAGCTACGCTCTTGCGAAACAGAGGAAGTGAGCAGGAGCCCACAAGATCTGGTCAAGTTATGCCTAGCTTTTGGGGTTTGAGACAAGGTTTTACAAATCCCCGCAGCAGCAGATAGGTTTGTGCCTCTGCCAAGGCCGGGGAGCCAGTAGAGCAGCACATGGACAGGGTGAGTGCAGCCCAGCTCTCCGCTGCAGCACGTGGCTTGCGGGAGCCGGCGCAAACAGACCACCACGGGGATTCGGGGCATACGTTCAGCTGTGCATCCTCCTCCGCTGGGGATCAACCTCATGCCCTGGACTTCAGCCTCACCAAGCTGGTGTGTGCTGCAGGGGCTCTGGGCTAGTGACTGCAAACAAAAGTGAAACCTTGACACCCTGCAAAGCAAGTGTCAGGTCTCACAGCACGTGCCAGCAGAGAATGGAAAGAAACCCCTTTTCACAGAAGCTTTCGGTTTTAACATCTTCATGGACTCTACATGTTGCAAATGAGACATTCATCCTTTTACCAGCTTTTCTTTTTATTGTTAGTTTTACTCTAACCTCAGTCTGGGTTGTTTTGGCTTCCTCTATCTACTTAATTTTGATGTTTGGTGTTTCAGTGAATTTACTTCAGCCTCTGGGCATTCAGATTGCTCATTTCTGCTTTTTTCAGGATCTGAACTGCGCTGGTGATTTCACCTGCATGTAATGCGAGCCCCTGGATGCTCACTGAGCAACACAAGCACTTCTAGGACTGCAAGACACAGGATTTAGGCCCAAAAACTTTTCCATCAGCAGATCACAGTGCTCCATTTTAGGGTGGAGAGTACCTTCATTCTGCTGGGCAGCATATTTCTCCCAGTAAGGAGCCCTTGCAGGCCCCACTCTCCCCTCTACAGCTCTGCCCACTCCCTTTCCAGCCCAGATGTGTGCAGGGTAAAAATGTATTTGTACACAAGTATCTACAGTATTGCAAAGCACTAAGTATGCACACAGAAGCTATGCTGACTTGGGGCCTCTGTGCACAGTTTTCAAGAGCCCTTTCATGCTTCAGAAGCACAGATCTCATTGAAATATGTTGGGAGCAAAATTTCTCCTCCCAGGGCCTTCAGTCACTTTAAAATTATCTGTTTCAGAGGCTCTGCCTTGTAAAAAAAAAAAAAAATAACTCAGACAGGCCTGAAACCCCTAATCTAGACGTTCTTAATATTTTACCAGGTCTAAAAAGGAATATTCCATCAGTGGTTGCTGGACTTGTTTGAAAGCAGTTGGATTTGGCACTCTTCGTGCCCCTGCTGTACGCGTTATCCATAGCTTGTCCAAGCCCAATACGTGCATTCACTGTCAGGAACATTCATCAAACAGGCTCTTTTCATAAAGTGTTACACAATGTTTTCCAAAAAGGCACTCCGATGTGGTGTTCAAAGCACCAACAGTGGAAACCTGAGCCAAAGAGCCACGGTAAAGTGCCCGGGTACTGCCTTAGCACGTGTCTAATCAAAAGGACTTGGCTTTGAATGACCCACAATGAACGCCTTGCAAACAAGCCACAGGCCAGGAATTGCTTGGCAGGCATCCTTCAGCAAATAACTCTGAACAACAAATAAAGCAGAGAATATGGTGATCTCTTCACGGCCAATTTGTGAACACAGAGGCAGCATTTGTCAAACAAATTAGTTGTTGCTAATTATTCCTCCAGTTCTCGTGAGACCTTCCTTGCCTTTGGACACCAGCCTTGCACACAGGAAACTGGGAAATAGCTCCAGCTGATGGAAAGGGCTGGCACGTACCGACCCACCACGGCTGCCCCATTCTTCCTCCCAAAAATGGGTCCTCAGTGCACCCATACCAGCTCCCTGTGCAGAGATACTGCTAAACTCTGACTTTAACCGCTTAGGTCTAAACCAGACAGCAACTTCACATAAAATAATCGGACAGTGAATCAAAACAGATGATGTGGAAGTAAAAGTAGGGCTGGTGAGACTTATTGGAAACAGCCCTCACGCAATAGTGTGTGCTCTTGTATGGAGGGTGTGCAGTGCGTCTCAGTACACTGCTCTGCAGCAACCCACACAACTGCTGCTTGGAAACAATTTGGGGAGATCTAGTTTATTCGGATATATTTTTTTAAAAAAAGAAATCAGCCTAGCAGTGTGAATAGCTGTTCACCAGACAGCCCTGGGGAAGGCTGTTTCTTACTAAGAAAGAGATCAACTAAGAAGAGATCGACAGGGCTGAAAGGATCTCCAGAAGATGAGGTGCCTGCACCTGGTCTACCTCCCTGCAGATCCAGGGTGCCGGCTTGATAATCTCATCAGGAGGTTGAGCACAGGGCAGCAGTGGTACAAGCCACCCCATCTCAGTTATGAAAATACCACCGGGTTTGAAGCAGAAAAATCTCTTACAGGATCCCCACCTCACTTCTGCAAAAAGATCAAGCAATTGCATATTTGCAGTGGGAACGTGGATTTGGACCCCGGATATTCAGAGACTTTTGCTGCTAGAGCTGAGGTGCTCTAGAGAGGCTGTTCCTCCCTGTATGATGCTGGCTGGTACTGGGGGTATCACACGAATTGAGACTGGAGCAATGCTAGCTGCCACAGAGCAGATAGAAAACCCTAAAGTGATGTCATTTGGGTGTCAGATTTGTAAAGGACCTACATGAAAGGTCCTCTGCTTGCTTGGAGGTTTTCTTCTGCCTGGAGCAGCAGAGACACTCAAATTGAAACCCAGGGCTCGACTTCAGAGTTTCACCTGCTTTTGAAACCGAGCCACAATGCGGCCCGGTGGTGCGAAGCGTTTGATGAAGATTGGGTAAATCTCGCCACACGATGAGAAAGCAGCACTAAGAGTCAGTCTCCAGCTTACGCTCTACGGCACCCTAAGAAACCCCAGCACCTGTACAGTGCCGGGGACAGACCTCAGTGCTCCCTTCTGGGGCTGGGAGATCCCAAGAGGGGGCAGGGGGGAATCCCTGTACATCTGTTTTCAAGGCACCCTCAGCTGCTCTCCCCACTGTGGTTACCTGCTCGTCTCTTCGTCTCCGTCCCACTGTTGTCCCGATGGTTTTGATGACACCAGGACGCTGAAGGGCTGTGTGTCCGGCCACCGAAGAGAGCGGGGGCAGCGGGTGGCTGTAGGGGTGCGAACGAGAGTAAGGGCTTGACATGGAGGTGATGACGGTGGGCTGGACCATCCACTGCAGGTCTTGGCTGGTTGTGATGGCGTTGATCGTAGGGATAAAAGCACTGCCTGATCCTGGCATATCTACTCGAAATTTCTAGGAGGAAAGGCAGAGGAGAAGAGGGACAGAGAAGAAAAGAAACCGTCAATGAAAGCAGAACATAAGTGGTTATTCCGAAACAAGCTAGGCCCTCAGGAGTGGCACCAGTGAGGATCAAAGCAGCACCTGAAGCACAAACACCAGCAGCTGGTGCCTCTGCAGCATCCCAGGCTGCCCCTGCCTAACACAGCCCCCTGAGGAATCACTGGGCTCAGGCACTTTCCCTCTGAAGCAGCTCTGGCCTCTCCCAGCCTCCTTCCTCTTCCCCCACAAACCCCCCCAGCCTCCCCTCGCAGGCAGTGTCCCCACCGCTGCCACCTCCTGCCTGTGCCCACCGCTCCTTCCGGTGGGGAGTAAAAGGGGAATTCGGGAGTTTCTAGAGAAACACTTCTCTGTGAGCCCAAAGAAAAGGAAGAGAAACTTCAGTTTTGAAATGCCCCTACCAAGAAGGATGAAGCTGCCTTCTACCAAAGGACTGCCCTGAAATTTGGGCTTGGTCCACATAGGGTTTGGTATGGCAAGAACAGCAGCTTGCCTCTTCTTCTTCAGTGGTTCTGCACTTGCCACACATGCAGGGCAAGAAACCCGGCCCCAGGATGGTTACGTGCGAGGATATGTATTTTAATAGCAGCCTATAAAATAGGTCTTAGGATTCAGATCGGACAAGTTCCCTGCAGCTCTCTGCACTGTCTAGACAAAACAAGGCAGCAGTAAAACCAAGGCAGCAGGTAATGATCGCCTCCAAAATACATGTACACCTTGTTTCAGACAGAGGTAAATCCATCTGGATAATATGCTGGCACTAAATTGCAAGGAAAACAATCACTTGTCCCCGGAGGGGGAAGAAGGGGAGAAAGAATGCTTTTGTCTATGCTGAGCTCCTTCAGGAGTCTTTCAATGGTTAGACTGGGATTAACAGACAGACATGCCTTGCTCCAGCAATCACTGTGCAAGGGACAGGGCTTGTAGGACCTGCGGCAGTCACCACCACTGATTTGTAAGCCTTGAAATGATTCCGTGAAAAATGCGCATTCTTGGGTCGACAAACTGGCTTTCCAGAGAAACGAGAGCCCTTGCATCAGCCTGACCTCAGCTCAGGTAAGCGTCCCAGATAAGGTACAGCACTTCAACACAGATTTCCTTTTCAGGGTGTGCCTAGTCAAGCACCTTAAGTGCTTTGTTAAACCAAGGCTACTGCAAATAGTATTTCAAATTCTGATAGCTACAGCACTTTGGGCCAGCATTAGCCAGCTGCCAACGCCTGGAGATCAGGACATCCAGTCTGAATACTGACAACTGCCGACTTACAGCTTCGGACAGCTGAACATCTAGCAAGAAAGGATGAGAGAAGGAAGGAGTGAGTCAAGTTAAGCAGGTGGGGGAATTACACAGAGAAGGTGACACTGGCACCAAGACCTTGGCAAAACCCCCCAACAGAACCTCAGAGATTCACTTGGAGCTTAAGTCCAACACAGCCTCATCTCACCCCACATTTCAGAGTGCGTGCCACCTCTCCCAGTTAATTATAGAGGCCCAGAGCTGCAAACTGTCAACACTACATCAGAATTTATGGGTGCAAATCCCCTCCTTTGCTCTGCCTCGTGTAGCCTGTGACCACATGGCACAGGAGAGGATGCCCTGGTGCTTCCACAGCCAGAACACAAAGAGACCTTACCTTCACAGAAGGAATTAAGTGCAAGACTAGTTAAACCACAAGCTCAACTCAAGGGATGTGAGCCCTGCTTCCTGCTCCATGAGTGGCTTCTACCAAAGCCTTTACCTACCTGTGTCACCATCCCTTTTGTATCCAAAAAAAAAAACAGAGAGGAAAAGTCCTGTCTTCTTTTCAGGGACACTAGAAAGCTATGGCTGCAAAATATTCAGAAATCTTCTGGTGTTCTGCCATCCAGACACCATTTGCACTCCAGAGCAAACCTTTGCCTCCAACACCCAGCAATAGGCTAAAAATTCCCAACAGAGGTTGGGAGAGTCAGATCCACCACCAAATCAGCCACATATAATACAAGCATCTGACAAAGATCAGGCTCCAAGTTATTGATAAAGTGAGTACTTCACTTCCAATCACTCCTGTATTCAACCGAGGATCCTTCCCTAACACTAGTAGAATCTCCTGGACTGCAAAGGGGAGCTGCTCAGTTCAGTCACATCACTCTGCAGCTCCATGATGCTTGCTTGCAGACCTGGGGAAGAGATCAGTTCCTCTCGGTACCATGCCCCATCTGTCACCAGTTTCCTTTCTAATAACACAAAATATCTTAGAAAGAAAAAATCCTCCAAATCTGTATTCTGAAATACTCTCAAAAGGAAGTATTTTTCCTGGATAACTAATTAAGGGACACACTGCAGTGGCAGGCTGAGTCTTCAGATACAGAGTGCTCAGTCTACCACCAGGTTTTACAAGCATTACTTCCTGACTGGTCAGGCTTTCCCCACATATCTCGCCTTCCCTGCTAGAACACTGCACTGGATCAGCTTTCCTGTGCCAAAATGCTGCTGGCCCCCCACACTCTGCCCAGTGGCCATCAGCTCTGACTCCTGGGATGTTGCTGGTTGCAGTGGCAGGCCCTGAATTCCCTGCCACCTCCCCTATACAGCCCTTTTGAGCACTGGCCTCCTCATATCAGAATGCCAGACCTTTCCCCAAACTGTAGCCCCAGCTTTGCTCTCTCCTCATGCCTCCCCGTCTCGGAAAGCTTCAGTCCCCCTGCCAGCCTTGCAGCACTGCCTGCCCTCACCCACCTCCCCATTTCTCCTCTTTCCAGAGCCCCTCCTGCCTTTTCATCTCCCAGGACATGCACAACTCTCATCCTCTGACCCATGAGAGGCTCCTGGAGGTACCTCTCTGCCAGCTCTCGGTTCTTCTTATCTACAAGGAATTCCCAGCACTACAGAGAAGATGTGGTGATAGCCAGATTGCAGGGCTACACACGCAGCACACGCTGAACCGCTCAACCACCAAGCCACCGCTCGCCTCCTGACCCAAGCAACACGCAGATGAAGGTATCATTAAAAAACCCCAACAACTAAACAGCAAACAGAAAGAGTCCTGTTATTAAGAGTGCCAAGAACTGAGGTCAGTCTCTGTTCTGTCTTAAAAACATGGGGTTGGACAGGAGCCTCCTCAGATCCACAGTTGGGGGAGGCTCCAGCAAGTCCTACCATGGGTAGGGACAGACTGCATTAGCAGCTCACAAAGCAGCACAGACAACACAGAAACATTTAAAGCTTTGTCTTTATGGTTCCCTTCTCCATCTTAGGGAGGAGTTTCTATACCACACCCTGTTGTTTCTTCGTTCCTTTCCAGACCTTCACTTACATCTCTAAGTGCTGAGCAGCACCAGAAGCCAGTTGAGAAATGGGTAAAATGGCTAGGAAAAAAAAATATAATCAAATCCAACAATGAAGCAACCAAGAAAATACCCAAAGCATCTGTAACAACTACTCAGTTATCAAATATAGGGTATATGTGATATAATAAATACAAAGCCCCTGATGGGTCTCCCATGTTGAACATCTCCTTGAAGGAAAACTGGACACAGTGCTATGATATCTCAGGGGAAAGTTGACTGGTCTGAAAGAGTACACAAACTCTTCCCATTAAAGTCTATGTTTACCACATGGCAAGTCAGTGATTAGGAAAATAGCATGACACGCAACTGAAAAGAAAAATGTTCCAGTGCTGTGCAGTATGGGAAAAAATAATTAAAAAGCATCAAAGTTTTGGCTCAGAGACACAGTTTCCATTTAAACATGTGACTGATGCATCTTTTCTTGCTTTTGGGGAAAAAAAAGCACACACTAAAGAAAAAAATTTCTGCAATGCATATTTTCTGTAGCGATAAAACTCCGCAGATCTCCCTAGACCAGAATGAGCATAACAGCCCGACTGCTGGGGTAAAGGCAACGCTTACATTTGATCCTAATCTACAACATCTGTAAGGATCAAGGGAAAGACGATCTACAAGGCCTTGAGAAATCTCCCAGATTCTTAAAGAAAACATTTATGTTCTTGCTAAGCCGACGTCCTGCTCGAAGCCCCGTTTCAGATAGTAACCCTAGAAACCGGGCTCTGGTCCCTATATCAAACGCCTCGCACACGAGCTGCCCGGGGAAGATGCGCAGCCCCAGAAAAAGGGGAAAACCCAGTCATCGCTCGGACCACGACAGCTCAAATATTAAGTGGTGACGGAGTTTCACGACCTCCCGCAGCAAGTGCTCGAATCCAGCGCAGCTGTTGAATCACAGGAGGAAAGGGAGAGTGAGGACTTGCAGCTTGCCGGGCGTTTCCAGTTTCTCAGCCCCCCTTCCCGCTCCCCCCTACCTTGTCCCGGCACTTACTGTAAACCAAGGAATAAGCTTTAGCTGAGCTAGAATCCCGGGAAACCTCAGTCCGCAACCCGCAGAGGGCACCAGCGAGATGCATTTGGAACAGGCGGGGAGCGGCAGCGAGTCATTTCTGGTAAAACTTCTTTAATGTGAGGAATGTCACGGGCTGGTACGGCTGGCAGAGTTTAAAACTGGACCTTTTTCCTTTTTCTTTTTTTTTTAAATGATCCTATGACTTCTTGATGCGAAGGCTACAACTCTGCTTATGCTGCCAGTTCTCTCATACAAGCCACACAAGAAATAATAATATTGTGAGAAAGGGGGGGGGGGGGAAGCCCAACTCTGAAAAGGCAAAAAAAAGACTGAGGCTGGGCCAGCTGATGTAAACAAGTTATGAAATAACCCAGGTTTGTATAACTGGCCCGATTGTGTAATGCCTTCCCCAGAAGTGGTGGATTTAGTCTATCTAGGCATATAAGTCATTCCGAGGTGCTTTCTTAGGAAAATGAAAGGCAAAAAAACCCAAACCACCCGACTGGGCTTTTAGGTCCGGGAATTCACGCCGCTTCCACAGGAAATATCTCCCATTCTCCAAGCGCCGCCCGGCAGCGGGGCTTGCGGGGGGAGCAGGGCCGGACGGCGCGGGGAGCGCTCCTGCGGGCCCCAGGAAACTCCAGCTCGGGAAAAGCCGTCGCCGGCCGCTCCGCGGCCAGCGGCTCCAGGCACAATCAAGAAGCGGGCGGGCAGCGGGCTGAAGAGAGCGGCACTCCGCTGGCCCCGGGGTCCCACCGCGGGAAAGGAATAGATAGTGTCAGTGCCCCGGAGCCAAAGTTTAGCGGGATGAGAAGCAGGAAGACCACTGCGGGCGCTTGAAAGACCCAGAGCCCACTTTCAGCTACCCC